GCAATCTCGAATTTGAGTTCAATATACTGATATCATTACATACCTGTTGAATAGTGTGGATTTGTCTGTATTTTGCAAGAAAATAGAATATAAAATACATTCCATCCAATTCCGAATCTTCCTTCACATCATAATAGTAATCATTTATTAATTTACGGGTTAGTGAATTTCTTCAAAGCAATATAGACATTGTCCTTTCCATCCTAAAATACAGATAATATGTGTAAGACGTGTCAATCCCTACATCTCCGTGATTGCATAACGCAATTACTATGGACAAAATCATGAAAAATGTCTCATAAATAATGTCTTTTAAGTCCAAAAATCATAAAAACTATTAATGTTTATTGTTTGATTGCCTTTTTCACAGTTGGGGTTATATATCTGTCACTCGCAGGGTTGCCAAGTCTAACGACGATCACGTCACGTGGTGAAGGGTGCGACATGAATCTTTTACATTTGCTGGTTTTGAATTTAAAGTAGGAATACAAACATAGTACTTATGATAGTTGGAGCTAGACTGATAACACTTCTTGAAGAATATTTGAAGAATGTGAACACCGTCATGGTCTGTTGTCAAATTGCAAATGAAGTATCTGAAAATTCTTACATACAGTGGGCCTTCGTACTAGGTATCATGACTATAAGCATCTTTGCTGGATTGTTCAATTCGGAATGGGAAAGATCTTCTATTTATGAAAATATTTTTGGTATCATCTAACCGTTGCAATCAGTGCACAAAAACTGTGACGTATGATTTATAGCACAACCCGCTGCCCTATGAATACAAATTTAACATACAGGTCGCCTAGCCGTGGGTATGCAGTGGTCGGGATGAATATCACGGCAGCAACTAATGATTTGGGCATGTCTGGTAACAACGTATGAAGTGAAACAAGCTAACTTCACAAATTTGAAGATTTTGTACAATTTCTTTGAAAATGATGAAAGATGTGTCTGATCTGGCAGGGTAATGTCGCACCCAAATGGCAGTCACTCTTTCTGACGCAGTCCGGATCGAAAGATGACGATACTGGTGAAATGTATTGATACTTCTAAATATAGGATCCTATCGAACATCCTTACTGTCAAGATGTATAACCCGAGTTACCGACGGAGCTGTTTTGCGGCGTCATGGAAATAATTTTAAATTTTCATTTGCATTTCCAAGTGTTGTGCAACGATTTTGGGAAAAATTCCACGAATACTTTTATAAAGCATATTAGAGTATATTTCAACAGATGGCGGAGCTTACTCCACTGGGACCAGGGGGTGAAACGGGATATTAATGCACAATCTGGCCACCATGTCGTACCCTCACAAAATGGCCGCTGACAACCACACAAGTCACCGTGTTGTCATTGTATAGCATGGAATTAAACCTTCTTCAAAGTATATGTTTTGTGACTGAGACCAAGGGTTGACAGATCCCACACATGTGTCACTCGATGAGTCTTGAAATGCAATAATCAGCTGTATTCAAATAATGTCTAATATAAATATAACCTAGAATGTGTACTCGTGAAAAAAGAAAAATATGGCAAATTTGTAGTTTTTTTGCAGGTTTTAGATTTGCTGGTAGCTTTAAGGCATATATTTGGGAATTTCTTAGTCGCTGTGAATATATTGTGGATTTTTTTTCAGCTCCTGAACAACGAAAAATATTCAACTTTATGGATGTATGGATGTCAAAAAACCTGAATGGTTTTGTGGGAATATTAATATCTAAGGTGCCATAATGGTTCTGATGAACGGCAAGTAAATTAATGAATGTTTGGAAATGACAAGAAAGCAACCCTTTGTGACACAAAGAGATAGAAAAGTCAATTCTACTCGTGACTTTCCCAAGAGATGACTCTGGAATTCATAGTTATCTTCTAGTTAATGCTAGCTTACCTTCTTATTGCAACGTTCATCGCTGCCAAAATTCAAAAAATCGGCACAATGATCTAACACAGAATTTTTTTAATTTGATATCGGTATCTTGAACATCAGGTCTCTCAGGATACATGTTTACATAAAATGTTCTAGTTGAATTTGGTTCACGAATGCGCCTCAGAAAGCCACCTTCATATCAAGCAGAAACTTTTATTATGTCTCTGATGCCTCGTATTTCCTCACTTTCAACTTATGAATCCGAGCTTACGAAAGCTTGTTACTGTTCTAATGTAACTGGCAGCATTTACAGTAACAACTACAAATCACTGATTTTGAGTTCATCTTCGTCAAACATATGCGGTTGCAGTTATTGGTCAGATACGGCGAGATGAACATGTTTCCATTACCGCGTCTGCATGACAAAACCGGTTCCAGCTAGGATGCCACTAAATCTCTCTCATCAGCTGAAATGACGTGTCGCATAGCGTACATCACAAAGTCTTTTCAGGCGTATTCGTGGACTGCTAACTGAAAGCAGAGCTAGCGGAGTTTTTTAACGGCGCATAAAAAACGGATTGAATCCGCTGCGTGTTGTACACACTGCTGACGACATGAACATGTAAAGAGGGTGGATTGTGGTAAGCAGCGCAGTAAACGAATGGGAGGCAAATTTTTCGACACAATGTGTGGAGGGCCTACTCATGTTTTCTTTGATACAAGGCATTTCCGATATACTAGTTAATTATCAACGCTAAATATTTCGACCTTCAGGAAGTTACTAAAAAGTACGAGGGTCATTTTAAGAGAAATAAATTCGTGTACGAGCATTCTGTCACTTAATTCCCCTTCAGTCTCAGACACTATTGAACAATCACGCGTCTCTGTCGGTGCTGGTTGCCGAGACATACTGCCTTGTTTGTCGCCATGCCATTCAGTAAACCGCCAGACTGTGATGTGCGCTCAGTAATTCGGTTTTTATACGCAAAAAGATTTTCCCTGCTATAAATACTGTGACACCTGCTCTCTTGCGGAGTCATTTTGCATCACAACGGCCTTAGGTTGCGGCAAGAACACAGATGCAACTGGACGAGTTTCGTTTGGAATAAATGAATCATCCACCATGCAGCCCTGACTTAGTGTCATCAGACTTTCATCTTCTTTTAAAACTTAAAGAATTTTTGGGTGGAAGGCGCTTGGAAATAATGACATGTTGAAATAAACGGTTAGAAATAAATAGTTACAACTGGTTTAACGGTCAGGCAGCAGCGTTTTCTAGCGAAAAGTCGGTGCCACAGATTGACAAATGTTTAAGTGTTTGTTGTGACTATGCTGAAAAATGAAAAAACCTTCATATTTTAGTTTGTGATACAAGTAACGTTCATAAATAAAGTTTCTCTGGCTCCATCACAAATTGGTCCTTACTTAAAAAATGGCTCTCGTACTAGGGTTAAGGTTTTATTTACTTATTATACTTTCATAGATATAGGACCACTTGCAGTAATCCCACGTTCCTTGAATTTTCTGTGTGATACTATACTGGCATTAACCAAAACCTTACCGAAAAAGGCGAAAAAGCACACTAGAAGGAAGTCTACTTTGCCTTCTTCAATCCATGCAAAGTGTAGTACAGTTATTTGTATAATCAGGGCTTAAAGGTGGTCGGTAATGTGAAATTAGAGGCGCAAAGATTTAACACGCCAACGGTTACAGAAGCTTATGTCGTCTAAAATACGGTGAGTGACAAACACAGGTAAACACCTACGTATGCTTATCAGAATGGGGTAAACATACGTTGGTGTTTTCTTATCTACGTTCTGCAAATCCGGCAAAATAAGACATTTGGAGTAGCTTCTCGGTAGGATTACAAATGATAACTCATCGGCCGTACTATTGTTTCATCGGTAGTTTCCCGGTCGTATAACAAATATATGAGGATAGTTCCCATGGGCGCCATACTGTGTGCATGGAGGAGCCAGAGGCTGCAAAGCAGGGCTGAGAGCATGGAAGACCTACTCATAAAATCATGTCTGGTCGTAGATACAATGCAGTACAGGAAGAATAAGTTCTCTGACGTAAAAATATACTATTTAGATTCTATATAGTTCTTTTCACGGGTTTTGATGGTCACGTCATAATGTCATAGGTAATAAGTATGCAAATTGACTATCTGTACGATGCGCTTGACTTTCCAAAGGAAAACTGCACAAGTCGATCCTTGACGTAGCTGCTACTCGACCTTGCACACGAATGAATTGAGTGATAGAAGACCGTTGTTTTCATCCACTTTCTCAAAATAGACAAACAAGTTTACTACAGACTGTCGACATTGTAGTTATATCGTGGCATTGCTATGACGAGTAAGTTGTCATACTGACAACGACAACTATAAATGTGGAAGGCCCATACGTTGACAAAAAAAAATCAAGGCGGTGAGATAAACGAAGAACGTATACCTCTGTGCTCGCACAAGCAAAGAGATAAATATGTTGAAGTAATCCCTATGGCTATACTATGACCCGCCAAAAACCCTAGAAGGTTATACCTATTTCAGGTACCCAGTTCTCAAACTAATACACATCCATTTACAAACTATCCAACTAGTTAGTTCTCTCCAATATTTGATGAGTGCCCCTTTAACCCTTACCTGTCCAATATCCATACGCCGTACAGTAAACAGAATTTCATTATAGATGGCGTCAGATGTTTAAAGGGTAGCTGGTTAAGGTCTGCTACGTGTGCGTTTCTAGTTACAGCATATTCGGTCTTATTAATTTATAAACATGAGGTTGGATCAAACGGAAGCCAGGAGTCTTAACAACCATGCTTGTTGATTTCGTCAAGGGTATATAACATTTAAAACAGTTATGTGGAGAAATCCTTGTCCTGTGAAGGTATGGTGCAACAGCCCTTTGCACGTTTGTCTGCCCGCTACTACAAGTTATTTTGCTTGTACGGTTTGTGTGTTGGATGCTTCTCCGGATATTATTTGGAGTAAGACATGACAAAGAAAATATGACCGAGTATAAATATCTCATTTACCTTGTCTAAGTAACAGTGTATTTTGTATTTTGTATCTATTTTGGGTGCTATGTCAATTTAAAACGTATTATGCATTGACCCAGTCGTAAGGTCTCTCGTGAGAGCGTTAACTGCTAAGGTACTTGAACAAATTGCGCGGAAAATAAATGAGTATGGGTTGACTGACGATTCGGATGTTGAGGAACCTTTTCAAGACTCCGGTTGCGAGTATAATTCAGAATCGATATTTCATCTGAAAGTGATCTGGAGCTTCCTGCCCGTCGTACTATACGTAAACGCAAAAGGAACAACCAAGAGAAAGCTAAAAACGATTTGCCTGATGATGAAATTCTTAGCGTAGAGCCTAATTTAGGGTCAGATCTTGAGGAGATTGAGGTAGAGCCTAACCCCATCAGTAAGAAGAATATTCACTGGAGCACTAGTGGATCTTCATTTATTCCTTCAAAGAGTGTACCTACCGCGTATGTTACACGTATTTTACATGCAGATATTACTCATAAATCATCTGAACTCGAGTGTTTTCTGAAATTAGTTCCCAGACGTTTGTTTATTTTTATGGCTGAATGTACTAACGAAAGGTTAGGCATCTTACGAGAGAAGACAAAAAAGCAGTATCTTCCCATCGATTATCACGGTAATTGGTTGTTATTTTGTCATGGCGTACAACAAAGTGCCATCTTTGTCTAATTATTGGTCATCTAACAAATCACTTGGAAATGAGGCTATTAAAAATGCCATCTCTAGAGACAGATTTTTTCTGCTTACATCAAAAATGTATTACAACCATCCTAAAAAAACAGAAAATTCAGACAAACCCTATTACATTTCTGAAGTTATGTCGTGTCTCAAACATACATTTCCAAAAGCTCCAACTGACAGTAGTTTTCAAAGTATAGATGAGTCAATGGTGAAATTTAAAGGCCGTTCCCCGCTGAGACAGTATCTTCCGTTAAAACCAATAAAGAGAGGTATTCAAATTTGGGAGAGATGCGATTCTGACACTGGATATGCATATGATATGAACATATATGTATATGCTGGGAAAGACGAGGAGCAAAAAGAAGGAACGTTAGGGGAAAGAGTGGTAAACAAGGTATGCAGCTCTATCAATGATCCAAACGTGATGTTGTGTTTTGATCGTTTTTTTACGACTGTGAATTTAATTGCTAATTAAGATTTAGCTGCTGTTGGGACATGTATGTAAAATAAAGAAAACCTGCCACAGTTTGAAAAGAAAAAAATGGGAAAAGGAGATTTCCAAACATTATTTAGTGATCTAAAGGGGTTTTGATTTTTTCAAACTGTCACAAAGACGAAATGGGATCTGTAGAAAGACGCCAAAAAGACGGAACCAAAATTAATGTGCCCTGTCCGGAAGCTATAAAAGCATATAGTAGATTCATGGGTGGTGTTGATCTTTCAGATCAAATGTCTAGCTTATACGGAATTGATCAGAAGTCTCAACAATGGTGGAGAAAAACATTTTACAAGCTACTATTAACATCAGCCTCAAATGCATGGATACTATTCAAAGAAGCTCATAAGCGTAATGCTCCGTTTATTACATTTATAGTAAACCTAGCAGAAGATTTGATAAGCTCAGGTCGACAAAAAGCAGGTGTTGTTAGAAAACGCTGTAGTGGCAGACCTTCAAGTTCATCAATAAATCTCGTAAATGTAGGAGATCATTTGCCATTTCTAAGAAAATCTCCTCATAGATGTCATTCATGTACTTCTCGAAAAGTGGAGAATAGAAGAAAAACTATGTGTTCAGGATGTAAGCTTCCCTTGTGCAATGATTGTTTCCAGTCCTTTCACTCTTAAATGTTAGAAGTTTATTATTTTCGTTCAAGTTACATTTTTAACTATAAAGGGAAAACCATAGTACAACAACTGCTCTAGCCAATGTCACTGATGATGTTATAAGAGGCCTTGATCAAGGAAATATCACTTGTTTAGTTCTGCTGGATTATACAAAAGCTTTCGATATGATAGATCCCAAAATTCTGCTACTTAAGCTGTCTTACTATGGTTTTACTGATGCTGCAGTCAATTTGATAAGCTGCTATTTGTCAGATAGAAATCAGAAGGTCTTAACAGCTTCGAAAATGTCACAGTCAACTGCTATAAGTTTTGGTGTTCCTCAAGGTTCCCTTACTTTTCTCTCTATATATATATATCGGATTTCCATCAATATGTCCATAATTACACAATCCATCACTATGCTGATGATACTCAAATTTATTTAGTTTCCAACACAAAGATTTTAAAATTGCAGAAGCATTGCTCAGCTAACATTTACTTATGTGTTGGAGAGTCAGAATAAGCAATAGTGATTTTTCAGACCAATGTTACTTCTGGCCCAAAAGTGAGTCATAATCAATAAGCGCTTAACTATTGCCGACTCTCAGAAGTACAAGCTAACTACTTCCTCAGAATATACTGCCTCTTTTAGCAACACAATACCTAAGAAACGCGTCCGCTTTCAGTCAATCTCCAGATTCATTAATCGGGAGACTCTGTGGAAATAAAATGTCTGCCGTCGACTCCATTAGTCACTACAACAGACGTTCTTTAAGGATGCTTGCAAGCGTTCGCAAGTTTTTTTTATCAACGTGGAAGTGTTTCGGAAGACAATAACACTTCATTTAAAATTGCTAGTATTATACAGGATAACTGCTTAGCTGACATGTAGGGATTGTTTGGGACCTCAACAGAAGAGGAATAGCGATATACAGTGATAAAAAAATAACGAGCCTAATATAGAACAAAGTCATCCCAGTAAAGATGGTCTTATTTAAACTTCATATCTAGTCAGCAATGGATAAGAGGAAGCTATGATAATTGGATCTTGTGTGCCATATATGTACATTGGTTTAGTCGTCGGGGCAAGAAGTATACCATGTCAGGCTAGCCGTACCTTATACCGAAGAGCTGCTTTATTTTTTGGAGGACGATGTTAGGGTCACCCTTGTCCTCATATAAAGTCATACCGACAAAGGAGGATTGCCCAAAATGACAGCTGTAATTTTTAGATTAGAATTTATATAAATTTTGCGGTATAATAACTTGGAGTTTAATATGTTTTCTGATTCAGATAATGATGAAAATAATCAGTGTATTATTAAAAAATCAACAAAGAAATGAAAGAAAACTGGTACTGGAACAAAATGTAATGGATAAGTTGCGACTTTCTTCTCATGAACGAGGAGCACCATATAATCGTCCAACGTTCAAATGTTTGAAAAATGAAACTGGAAATAATCAAAGAAATATTATTAAATATTTGAATTCATTGGGTAGTGTAAAAGATGAAGATGTTATAAAAGATGTGCCTGTATGTTTAGCATTCATTGCACTTAATGGAACCATCAGAGAAAAGGTTAAATAACTACAAAAAATCATAAAAACAACAGAGAAAGCTCCAGTAGATCAAAGAGAAAATCATGAAAATCATAAAAAATTGTATCAGAGATTAAGGAAAAAGGTTTCAATCATATTAACTCATTTAAAGGAAGATTGAGTCATTACAGTTTAAAAGGCAGTAGGAAACTAAAATATGACTCAAAAACCAAAGGTTCTGAAGACAACTGAATTGGATATTCCGTGTTTTTTATTTGATTCAAAATGTTTCATTTGGTTTTGTTCAATTTAAATATGTTTAATAACCAAAAGGTCCAACGCCAGCAACAACATTATACTAGATATACAATATTTGATCAGTTCGAAGTAAAAGTTACTGCATACTTTGATCTCAATATGAATAATATTCTTTCAAACTTTCAATTGCATTTTTTTTCAAATCAGTTCATTACTACATTCCCTGTTATTTGCCTGTACCCTTCATATATCCCACACATGTTCAATGGTAGAGAGGTCTCGAGATCTAGGAGGCCAGGGGAGATTGTTGACGTACACGAGATGTTTAACGAGAAACAGACAGTATGTTTTTCCCCGCGACTCATTCTGACTCGCCTCCGTTCATCAAACCAAACCAAAACTAATCACTGAAAAAATGTTAGGCCATCCATTATTCCGATTTTCTCAGTCTCGGTTTCGTTTAGGAATTTCCGATGGTCAGGCACCTGCCAGTAGAGTTACGGAGAAAGGCGCAGTGCAAGTTTTCAGTACAACGTGCGCCATTCTGTGGGAATTGTGGTTTGAGGCGCCATTACATATTGCGCTGTTACCTCTAGGGACAATTGTTTATCAAGGAAGCAGTGGACCTCACATTTTGGCATTTCTTCAAACTCTTCAGACTAATATAACGCTCGTCCTCATATTGTCAGCGCTATATGTATTTTGCTTTTCTGGAGGTGTTCTTTAGGGCCTTGACTACGTGTATGGGCGACCCGTATGACACTTTTGATGCAAACTAATCCGAATATTTCCTAGTTACAAATAGAAATCTGATATCGTCAACGCTCTGGCATGCTGCTCGGTGATTCCCGATATCTGAAGGAGGTGCGTATCTAAAATGTATTCATATTTATCTTTAATTGTTTTAAAGACAAATGTACAGATACACCAATGATGTGTGAAGTATGGCTAACGGGCGCGTAGAAATACCAGAAAATACTAACATCAAATCCTCATCCTTCACAAAGCCCAATCCCAATTTTTTATTCCTACAATTTTTTTTTCTCGATAAGATCAGGAGCATCCATCAAAGTCTCAATGTTTTTCTTATTTCTATCCTTAGCTCCGCCGAGATTCAACAGATTTCCAAAAACGATAAAGCCTTTTATGTCATTGATATAGTACTGACCTTGTATGAAAATTTCCTCCAATTCCGAGTGGTCTAGAACGGCAGACAGACGGACATTTCGACAAATTGACGGAAATGATTGACATGGTTTTTCGTGATGCACATAAATACATAATATCCAATTTTCGAAATTTTTCCCGATTATATACTTCCTCGCTCAGTTGCATAGGAAGTAAAAAGACCCACTAGATGTAAAACTTACGACCCGCACTATGCATCTACTATAATCACCACGGTATAAATCTCAGTACATAAATAAGAGGCATGTAGCGTCGTAATGTATTAACAAATCGCTATGCAGATGCACAGCTGATTGAGTCATTTTTCAAGGAGGGTAATAGCCCTCAGATAGCTGGTGATAAATAGCCTTTGTTAGGGCGAGACTTTGAAAAACTTCTCAGGATTTACATGATACCAGGCAGCTGAAATATATCGGCTGCTTAACCTCACTGCTGTTCGCTTCAGGCGTTCGTTGCAAGAAAGGTGTGCAGCATGGCACTGGATGCTTATAAGTCACAAGTTGTTTGAATCATTCGGAACAGCAATATAGAGTATGCTATTCCTTTCGTTAT